CCCGGATACGCCCCCTGGGGCTCCGGCGCCTGCTCCCCGCCCCTCCTGCTCGTCTGACCCCGCCTCCCTGCTCCCGACCTCGCCTCCGGCTCTCAGCTTCAGCGCTCCTGAAAGGGAGTGGCCCAAGATCTTTAATGCGAAATTTTTTTTCTTTATTTGCATGGACAGGAAGAATTATACACACCATCTTTTAGCTGTGTTTTGAGCTTATGCATTTTTTTCATTTTTGTATTTTTATTAGTGCACATTTGCAGTAGTGGATATATTAATCGTGAGGAGTCGGTAGAGGTACATATAATACATCTTAACTCTTTCCCGTTTCATTTTAAAATGTTGATTCCTATAACCTAAGCCTTAGTTTCTACTGAATGACTATTATTGAAGCAGCCTCTGGTTACCTCCTCTTCAGTTCTTAACCTCACATATTTCCAGGTTAATCTTCTAATGTTTCTAATTTTAGAAAACTAAAACACAGGGGCTGGGGATATAGCTCAGTGGGAGAGTGCTTGCCTACCCAGGCCCTGAGTTTAATCCCAGCACCAAAAAAGAAATAAATAAAATACATACTTTTTGTCATTCCCAATCTTCTACGTATTTACATTTCCATCCTTATTTCCTGATGGTACTCCAAGTTTACTATATTAAAGAGACCATTGGGCGTGTTTATTATTTTGTTTGTTTGTCTTGTTTTGGTTTTTTATGAGATCCCACTGTGTGGCCCAGGATGGTCTTGAACTCTGATCAAGCAAGCGTCCTACCGCAGCCACCAGCCTGGCTTGTTCACTGCCTTGTTCGGTGTTTTTATCAAGTTCTGCCTGTCGGTCCTTATTATTCCTAGTTCTTACCCATACCCTATTGTGGCAATGTCTCCCCATGTCATTTCTTACTTAAAAGGTTGCAGGGTTGGGAGGGCCTCCGGTTTATTTGGTAAGATATCACACTATTAATTGGTAAATTTCTTGAAGGCAAAGAATGAACTCTTTATCACTGTCTGTATATGCTCAAATATTTGTCTAACAGTATTTGCTAAATGGAACATGATTAAAATAGACAACGCTTCTTGGATATCTTGTATTTGCCAGTTCTTTATATGTCATTTCTTTCTATCCTCTCAATAATTCTATGAAGGAGATACTATGAGAAGAAACAAAAGTGATTTATGTCCCCCAAAACACACAGCAGGCAACATGTCTGTTATGTTCCCAAGACTATCCTCAGCTCAGAAGGAAGCAACTGGTAGCACCCAACTAACACTTGATGAGTAATTATTAGTCTTTTCTGAGTAAAGCAAGGTGGAAATCTCCTGGGCTTTAGTAGAGATGCAGGGAGGATTTGGTTTGCTTTGCTTTTTGTTTAGTATTTTTTGGTTGTTTTGTTTTGTTTTGGTACTGGGGATCAAACTCGGGACCTTGTGAGGCAGGCAAAAATATTCCTAAAGCATGAGTTGAGAAACTTATTAAAAACGTCATTGTTGGGCCGGGGATTTAGCTCAGTGGTGCCACCACTTGCCTCCCAAGGGCAAGGACCTGACTTTGATCCCTGGTGGTGGGGGGAGTGTCATTGTTTCAGTATTAAGCAAACGAGAGAATTGCAGCTAATATAGTTGCAATTAAGCATAAAACTTTTAAAGGGCTGAGTTGTTTTAAAAGGAGAAGAGGAGTGAAGACAGGAACAAGCAGGAACAATGAATTATTTTAAGGGTTCTTGCTTATCTTTTAAAGGCTATGAATGAAAAGCATCACCACTGCTTGTAAAATAGGAATACTAATAACCTCTCAGGGTTGTGAATCTCAAATATGATCATGTGGAAGAATACCTTGTACATAGTATGTACAATGTTACTTATAGCATGAACGGCAACAATTGTCATTAGAATTGGTGAACTTCTGCACATGGAGAGGATGTGATCTCTATTTGGAAGCCGGACAAATTTAGAAGCTAATATTTCTCCAAGCATCTTGTATGTTTATGCTTTCAGGGTCTATTTCTTTCTCTCCCTTCTAGAAACATAGGTGGCATGGGCTACCAGCTGGGTGGGCTAGACTTTTCCACCAAAGTTTTAAGTGGATCTTATAGAGAAGAACACCTTTTTCTTGTGGAGTTGTTGGTGATCTGGGGTTGGGGGAAGTCTACGAACAGAGGTTGTTTGGGGGACAGTGGAGCTTATACTCAGAACAAAGATGAAAAGATATCCAGGTACATCTGCCCCTCTCCTTCACTGTGTATGTGATTAAATATGATCCTCTGTTTTACTTAAACTAGGTCAAGCTGGGGTTTCATCTCTTCCAACAAAGAGATCTTACGTTATTTTATTGCTATCTGTAACAGCGGTATGTTACTTCAGTATTTACTAAATGTCTTCAGTAAAGCAATGATAGTATGCTTAAATGTTGTAATCTTCTGAGTATAGCATTTGAGTAAGTATAGAGTTATTGGCTGGGTTTTAATCTGGCTTTCTTTTATGGAAGTGTGATCACTGCAGGAATTCCCCATGACATCACACAGTGATTTGAGGGATAGGTAATTTAGAAGAAGTTTTATGTTGAATGCATTGAAAGAAAAGAAAAGTCTCAGACCTCCTGGCTCCAAATGAAAGAAGCTCCAAAATCCTAAGGGAAGTAAAGATTTAAGAGCCGATCATATTGATTTTAAAAGCTAAAGGAAATAAAATGTTTTGCCTGAACAGAACTTAGTTATTTCGCTCATATCAAACAATAAGTAATATGTATGCTTTTGTTAACAGTTTTTTGTTTGTTTGGTTTTTGTTTTGTTTTGTTTTTTGGTACCAGGAATTGAACTCAGGTCCTTGCACTTGCAAGGAAGGCGATGGAACCGCTGAGCTAAAGCTCTGGCCCTCTTAACAGTTTTATTGAGGTATAATTTCATCTGTCATTAGAGTGGGATTCAATAATGCTAGGTAAATTTTCATACATGTACAACTAAAATCCAAATTTTCCATCACTTAAAAAGATCCTGTGACACCCCCGCCCCAGTGTACACCTATAATCCGAGCACCTGGAAGGCTAAAACAGGAGGATCACTGGGAGTCTGAGGCCAGCCTGAGCCACCTAGTGAGCTCAAGACTAGCCTAAACCACATAGTGAAACCCTGGCTCAAAATAAAAAATGTTTAAAAGTATTCCTTGTGCCCATTTACAGCCACACCCTGTTCTAACCCCCCAGCCCAGACAATCTCTAATCTAATTTCTGCCTCTATAGATTTGCCTTTCTGGATAGCTCATGTAAATGAGCTAGCGCAATGTGTGTGTGTGTGTGTGTGTGTGTGTGTGTGTGTGTGTGTGTGATTTCTGTCACTAACTTAATGTTTTGCAGTTCATCCATGTTTTAGCATATGCAGTATTTATTTATTCTCTTTTTTGGGGGCGGTGGTTTGAGGCAGTCTCCCTTTGTAGTTCAGGCTAGCCCTGAACTCAATATGTAGCCCAAGCTGGCCTCAAACTCATGGTCATCCTCCTGCCTTAGCATCCTGAGTGCTAGGATTACAGGCGTGTGCCACCACTCCCAGCTCTTTTTTTATTATTGAATATTATATGAACATGTCACATTTTTTTATCCATCCACAACCTGAAATGCCTTTGGCTTACTTCCAATTATTGGCAATTATAAATAATGCTGCTTTGAATATTCACCATCTTTAAGTCTTTGTGTGGAAACAGCTTTAATTTCTTTTGGGTATATTCCTAAGAATGGAATTGCAGGGCAGTCTGGTAAATTTGTGTTTAACTTTAAGAAATGCCCATTCTGAGCCGGGCGTGGTGGCACATGCCTGTAATCCCAGCACTCGGGAGGCTGAGGTAGGAGGATTGCTGTGAGTTCAAGACCAGCCTGGGCTACATAGTGAGTTCCAGGGCAATCTCAACTACATAATGAGACCCTGTCTCAAAAAAACAAAAAACAAAAACAAACAAACAAACAACAACAAAAAAAACCCCAAAATACCCATTCTGTTAACTGAAGAAGCTGTACTATTTTACATTCCTACCAGGGTTTCATGAGGGTTCTGGGGTTTCTATATCCTCACCAATATTTGTTATAGTTAAGGGGGGAGGGGTTAGCTCAGTGATTCTGCTGCCTGCCTCACAAGCCTAAAGTCCCGAGTTTGATCCCTGGTACAAAAAAAAAAAAAAGAGAGAGAGAGAGAGAAAAAGAAAAAGAAATATTTCTGTGCATATACTGCCATGTGTAAGCAACTGGGGGTGGGTGCAAAGGTGACGTTAAACATTTTGTTGTTACCACACTCAGGAAAGATGGGTGACAAGTAGTAAAATGTAGAAATCTATGAGCATGTGAAGACCACTAAGGAATGCTGGAAGGCTGCGTTTCCCAACAGACGTCATCACAGGCAGCAGAGCAGGCATCCTTGTTATTCTCCACGGGGATGCAGCCCTACAGCAAAAGCAGTGTGAGTAAGGGCCAGGGATTTGGCTCTGTGGTTCTGCCACCTGCCTCACAAGTGCAAGGTCCTGAGTCTGATCCCCAGTACCAAAAGTGGTGCAAGTCCCCAAATGCCCTTCCCCATAAATGCTGAGGAGTAGATACTCATGGGTTGTAGCAGAGTTAGATGTCCCTGGATTTTATTTGTACTATAATTTGGTGATTCATAAAGAGAATTGTTAAGCAACTTTGAAACTACTTATCACTGTAAAATAATAATTGTGAAATGCTTTACTAATATGAAGAGTTAGGGGATGGAAAAATGTTTTAATTATGTTTATTTTGTTTTTGTTTTGTTGTTATTGTTTTAATTTGACTTGGTTTTGGGTTTTATTCCAGGCTAACCTTGAGCTCACTATCTATGTAGCCCAGGCTGACTCTGAACGCATGGTGATCCTCCTGCTTCAGCCTTCAAGTGCTGGAATTACCCATGTGCCCCCACTATGCATGGCTCAATTCATTTCTAACATTAGCCTGTAAGTTAGAAGCATTTTTATTCTCCTTTGATTGCTTTCTTACAGTGTTTGGGTGGTTTTTGGAGACAGAGATTCACTCTATAGTTCAGGTTGGCCTTGAACTCACTGTAGAGCCCAGGCTGGCCTCAAACTCAGGGATTCTCCTACCTTAGCATGTACCACCACCCCTAGTTCCTACAGAATTTTCTTAGCTCTTGATTATCCTCTGTCCTGTGTTCATAAGTTACTTTTGTTCTTTTCCCTGCCTCCCTCCCTTGTGCCTCATTGAACATTTTTTCCCATTTTCCAATATTTATTATACACTTTGGACCTTATTTCTACTATCAGTTTCTCACACCAGAGAAGCAATGCTGTATTTAAACACATATATCTGATTGATTTTTACTTAAGAGTATGGCCTCAAGCTAGAAACGTCTCAAGCTTATCTTTTTTTATGGCAAAATAGTACCCCATTGTATTTTTAAAAGCACTTCTTCTTTATTCACTAGTCAGTTGTGTATTTAGGCTGTTTCCAAGATTTAGCTACTATAAACTGTGCCGATATGAGTATGCATATATCCCTGTTACATGAGACATTGCCTCTGCCTGGACTTGTAGCACATTGCCTTAGACACTAGGCCTTTAGCTAGACTTGTGCAGGACATTACCATGGGACCCTGGCCCTCTGCTGGATTCTTCGGGTTCTAGTGTATGGACAGATCTCTTGTATTCTGCATTTGACTCTTTGTGTAAATATTATAAAATAATCCTATAAATTAGGTCTCCTGTATTAAATCTATTCCCCTAAAGATCCTGACTACAACAAAATTGGTACTGAGAATGTGGTCATTGCTGTGACTTTGCCTGGCCATGTGGCTTCAGAGCCTTGGGAATTAATTTGGAAAGCATTTGAGAGACCAGCTGAAGAGGCAATCCCAGAGATGCGCGAAACTATATAGAAGACTCTAGTCAGAGCCCAAAAATCAGAGTACTAATGGAAATGCTGCCGGTTGGGATGAGGCTCAGGAGGCTTTGTTGAGGACTGCATTGACTGCTGGATCCCAGGCAGTGTTTGTTGTGCTTCAGCAAAAAGTTGGTCTGCATTTTGTGTGCATTTAAATTGCCTGGGTGGCAGAAAAATTTCAATGCAGTATTGTTGTGATGGTGTTATGGATACTGTTGGGGGCTTTTGGCCAGGTGTGTGTTGGAAATTAAGAGCAGAGAGCCAGCAGGGTGATTTGAAGCATTTGGCCAGAGGCGAGACTCTAGTGGAGCTGTGGGTTGCAAGGATGAAACAGAGGAGAACATGGTTGTTGAGAAGGAACAGGACAATGGTAAAAGGACCTGAGATGTTTTACCAGAAGGGAAGAGTGTATTTGGAATGCAGGAAATCCCTCGGGGCAGCTTGTAGTGTTGCCACATCTGTTGTTAAAGTTAATGGGAAGCAAGGATTGTGATTTTTAACAGTTCTGTCCTGTTACGTTTTTTGTCATTATTGAGTTTATTGGTACTTCTTAGGTATACGGTACAGTTACCTTCGTCATTGGGATCTTGCACCTTTACATGACAGATCTTGGTTCTCATTTTTTCCCCATACCCCTGTCCTCCCTTCACCCTCTCCAATATGATTTTAATGTAGTAATATGATGTCAATATATGTGATGCTTAGTAAGTATTGCTAAATAAAGTACATAAATTGAAACCCAGGGCATTTTAAAATTTGAAGCCATCATGTGGAAATGAATGAAAAAAGAATTGTGTATATATATTTTTTTTTATATATACACATATATATATATATATATATACACATATAATTGTTGTATTAATGTAAATCTGCTCTTGTTGTTTTGTTTTGTATTTTGGTACCAGGGATTGAACTCAGGACCTTGCACTTTCAAGGCCGGTGATGGAATCACTGAGCTGAATCCCCAGCCCTAATGTAAATCTGAATACATCAAGATATGTTAAGTTTTCACAAGAGACTGGAGACTGTGGTTTAAGGAAATATGTCTGGTTACCAAGTTGACCAAGTTGGGGGGGGACTG